TATAAATACCGACAGGTTGTTAGGTAAGACACATATGCAACAGTTAGGTATCTTTATTTCGAAACGTTTCGCCTACACAGTAGGCTTCTTCAGTCGAGTACAGAAAAGTTGATAGAAGAAGAAGAGACATGAAGACGATGTAATCAGCCCATCACACCTTAAAGTTTTGAGGTGGCCAGTCCCTCAGTTTCGCCTACTGTGTAGGCGAAACGTTTCGAAATAAAGATACGTAACTGTTGAATATGTCTTACTAACAACCTGTCGGTATTTTATACCATTTTAATGTTGAATCTGTCAGACACTGCAACACAAGGGTATCTTGGTACAGACCTGCAATCAATTTCGACAACCTACTAGTCCTTCATCTACCAGGACTAGTCCTTCATCTACCAGGACTAGTCCTTCATCTACCAGGACTAACCCTTCATCTACCAGGACTAGTCCTTCTTCTATCAGGACTAGTCCTTCATTTACCATGACTAGTCCTTCATCTACCAGGATTAGCCCTTCAATACCACCAGGAATAGCCCTTCATCTACCAGGACTAGTCCTTCATCTACCAGGACTAGTCCTTCATCTACCAGGATTAGTCCTTCATTTACCAGGACTAGTCCTGCATCTACCAGGGCTAGTCATTCATCCACCAGGATAGTCCTTCTTCACCAGGACTATCCTCATTTACCATGACTAGTCCTTCATCTACCATGACTAGTCCTTCATCTACGAGGATAGCCCTTCATCTACCCTGACTTGTCCTTCATCTACCAGGACTAGTCCTTCATCTACAGGACTAGTCCTTCATCTACCAGGACTTGTCCTTCATCTACCACGACTAGTCCTTCATTTACCAGGAATAGTCCTTCATCTAACAGGACTAGTCCTTCATCTAGTAGGACTAGCCCTTTATCTACCAGGACTAGTCCTTCTTCTACCAGGACTAGTCCTTCATCTACCAGGACTAGTTCTTCATCTACCAAAAAAAGTCCATCTACCAGGACTAGTCCATCTACCAGGACTAGTCCATCATCTACCAGGACTAGTCCTTCATCTACCAGGACTAGTCCTTCATCTACCAGGACTAGTCCTTCATCTACCAGGACTAGTCCTTCATCTACCAGGACTAGTCCTTCATCTACCAGGACTAACCCTTCATCTACCAGGACTAACCCTTCATCTACCAGGACTAGTCCTTCATCTACCAGGACTAATCCTTCATCTACTAGGACTAGTCCTTCTTCTACCAGGACTAGTCCTTCATCTACCAGGACTAGTTCTTCATCTACCAAAAAAAGTCCATCTACCAGGACTAGTCCATCATCTACCAGGACTAGTCCATCATCTACCAGGACTAGTCCTTCATCTACCAGGACTAGTCCTTCATCTACCAGGACTAGTCCTTCATCTACCAGGACTAGTCCTTCATCTACAAGGACTAGTCCTTCATCTACAAGGACTAGTCCTTCATCTACAAGGACTAGTCCTTCATCTACAAGGACTAGTCCTTCATCTACCAGGACTAATCCTTCATCTACTAGGACTAGTCCTTCTTCTACCAGGACTAGACCTTCATTTACCATGACTAGTCCTTCATCTACCATGACTAGTCCTTCATCTACCGGGGCTAGTCGTTCATCCACCAGGCCTAGTTCATCATCTACCAAAAATAGTCCATCTACCAGGACTAGTCCTCCATCTACCAGGACTATTCCTCCATCTACCAGGACTTGTCCATCATCTACCAGGACTTGTCCATCATCTACCAGGACTAGTCCTTCGTCTACCAGGACTAGTCCATCATCTATCAGAACTAGCCCTCCTTCTTCCTGGATTAGTGCCTCATCAACCAGGTATAGTCCTTCATCTACTAGGACTAGTCCATCTTCTACCAGGACTATGCCATCTTCTACCAGGAATAGTCCTTGGTCTACCAAGACTAGTCAACCATCTACGATGACTACTCTCTCGTCTACGTGGACTAGTCTATCATCTACCACTGGAGAGACCTGGAGAGAGTTTCGGGGGTCAATGCCCCCGCGGCCCGGTCTGTGACCAGGCCTCCTGGTGGATTAGCGCCTGATCAACCAGGCTGTTGCTGCTGGCTGCACGCAAACCAACGTACGAGCCACAGCCCGGCTGATCAGGAACTGACTTTAGTGCTTGTCCAGTGCCAGCTTGAAGACTGCCAGGGGTCTGTTGGTAATCCCCCTTATGTGTGCTGGGAGGCAGTTGAACAGTCTCGGGCCCCTGACACTTATTGTATGGTCTCTTAACGTGCTAGTGACACCCCTGCTTTTCATTGGGGGGATGGTGCATCGTCAGCCAAGTCTTTTGCTTTCGTAGTGAGTGATTTTCGTGTGCAAGTTCGGTACTAGTCCCTCTAGGATTTTCCAGGTGTATATAATCATGTATCTCTCCCTCCTGCGTTCCAGGGAATACAGGTTTAGAAACCTCAAGCGCTCCCAGTAATTGAGGTGTTTTATCTCCGTTATGCGCGCCGTGAAAGTTCTCTGTACATTTTCTAGGTCGGCAATTTCACCTGCCTTGAAAGGTGCTGTTAGAGTGCAGCAATATTCCAGCCTAATCCTTCATCTACCAGGACTAGTTCTTGATCTACCAGGACTAGTCAATCATCTACCAGGAATAGTCATTCATCTACCAGGACTAGTCCATTATCTACCATGACTTGTCTATCAAATACCTTGACTAGTCTATCATCTACCAAGACTAGTCCTTCGTCTACCAGGAGTAGTCCTTCATCTACGACGACTAGTCCATCATCGACCAGGACTAGCTAGCCCATCATCTACCAAGACTAGCTCTTCATCTACCAGGACTAGTTCAGTGTCTACCACGACTAGTCCATCATCTACCAAGACTAGTCCTTCATCTACCTGGAATAGTCCTTCATCTACCAGGAGTAATCCTTCATCTACCAGGACTAGTCCATCATCTACCAGGACTAGTCCATCATCTACCAAGACTAGTCCTTCATCTACCTGGAATAGTCCTTCATCTACCTGGAATAGTCCTTCATCTACCAGGACTAGTCCATCTACCAGGACTAGTCTATCATCTACCAAGACTAGTCCTTCATCTAGCAGAACTAATGCTTCATCTACCATGACTAGTCCATCTACCAGGTCTAGTCCATCATCTACCAGGACTAATCCATCATCTACTAGGGCTAGTCTATCATCTACCAGGACCCGTCCATCATCTACCACGACTAGTCCATCATCTTCCATGACTAGCCCTTCGTCTACCGGGACTAGTCCTTCATCCACTAGCACTAGTCCATCATGTGCCAGTACTCCTCTCTCGTTTACCAGGACTAGTCCTTCATCTACAAGGACTAGTCCTTCATCTACAAGGACTAGTCCTTCATCTACGATGACTAGTCCTTCATTCTACGATGACTATCCATCATCGACTAAGACTAGTCCATCATCTTCCAGGACTAATCTATCATCTTCCAGGACTAGTCTATCATCTACCAGAACTAGCTAGTCCATCATTTACCAGGACTAGTCCATCATCTATCAGTACTATCCATCATCTACCAAGACTAGTCCTTCATCTTCCAGGACTAGTCTTCATCTACCAGGACTAGTCCTTCTCCTACCAAGACTAGTCCATCTAACAACACTAGCCCTTCATCTACCAGGACTAGTTCACCATGTACCAAGACTAGTCCATCGTCTACCAGTACTAGTCTTTCATCTACCAGGACTAGTCCATCATTTACCAAGATTAGTCCATCTGCCTTGACTTGTTCATCATCTACCAAGACTAATCTATCTTCTACCAAGACTAGCTCTTCATCTGCCAGTACTAGTTCACCATCTACCAGGACTAGTTCATCATCTACAGAACTAGCCCTTCACCTACCAAGACTAGTTCATCATCTACCAAGACTAGCTCTTCATCTACCGGGATTAATCCTTCATCTGCCAAGACTAGTTCACCATCTACCAGGACTAGTCCATCATCTACAGCACTAGTCCTTCATCTACAAAGACCAGTCCATCATCTACTAGGACTAGTCCTTCATATACCAGGACTAGTCCTTTATATACCAGGACAAGTCCTTCATCTACTTGGACTAGTCCTTCATGTACGAGGAGTAGTCCATCATCTACCAGGACTAGTCCTTCATATTCCAGGACTAGCCCCTCATGTACCAGAACTAGTCCTTTATCTAACAGGAATAATCTATCATCTACGAGGACTTGTCCTTCATCTACCAGGATTAATCCTTCATATACTGGGACTAGTCCTTCATATATCAGAAATAGTCATTCATCTACCAGGACTAGTCCATTATCTTCCAGGACAAATCTTTCTTCTACCAGGACTTGTCCTTCATTCACCAGGACTAGTCTATCATCTACCAGGATTTGTCCATCATCATCTACTATGACTATGCTTTCATATACCAGGACTAGTCCAACATCTACTAGAACTAGTCCATCATCTACCAGGACTAGTCCATCTTCCAGGACTAGTCCTTCATCTACTAGAACTAGTCTATCATTTACTAGGACTAGTCCATCGTCCACTCCCAGGACTAGTTCATCATGTACCAGGACTAGTCTTTCATCTACTAGAACTAGTCTATCATTTACTAGGACTAGTCCATCGTCCTCTCCCAGGACTAGTTCTTAATCATCTACCAGGACTAGTCCATAATTATCTCTCATTTCTGGTCTTTTATTGCTTTCCTGAACTAGATGCCCATCATCTATTATGAGTAGTCCATCTTCATCTACCAGGACTGTTCCTCCTTCATCTATCAGATGTGGTCCACCATCATGTACCAAGTGTAGTCCTGCATCATCATCCACAACTTGAGGATTATTATCTCCCTGGTCTGGTCCTGCATCATCTATCAGGGCTAGAGAATCATCTCCCTAGTCAGGTCCTCCATCATCATCGAAGATAGGTCCTTTCATTTTGTTCTAACAAGCTACCTCACTGGGTGCCGAGGCAACCAGCTAGGCTTTCAACAGTCTCACTCCTCTGTTGTTTACACTCTTGACATGATCACTCTCAACAGGAAAAACAGCAAAAATCAAGAGACCTTCTATTTATTCTCTTATAAACAATGATGTTTTCTTACAGACGGGGAATGGGAACTAGCTTCAGTGACGCAAATTCAAGGTAGTGGCGGCCCTGGTGGTTTTGTGGTGGTGATTGTATGTAATGATGTTATTGTACTTCAGGGGTAGTGACGGTGGTGTTTGTGGTGATGCTAGTTTACAAAGTAAGAGACTACAATCATCTAGACGCTAGCTGGGTGGCACCACAAGAAGCACTTGTCCTGCCCATAGCCGTCCTAGCTATCCTGCTCCTCTCTGCTATCTTCGTGGGTGAGTGGCATTATGAACCTACCCTCAGTCGTCCTAGCTATCCTGCTCCTCTCTGCTATCTTCGTGGGTGAGTGGCATTATGAACCTACCCTCAGTCGTCCTAGCTATCCTGCTCCTCTCTGCTATCTTCGTGGGTGAGTGACATTATGAACCTACCCTCAGTCGTCCTAGCTATCCTGCTCCTTTCTGTTATCTTCGTGGGTGAGTGGCATTATGGGCCTACCCTCAGTCGTCCTAGCTATCCTGCTCCTCTCTGCTATCTTCGTGGGTGAGTGGCATTATGAACCTACCCTCAGTCGTCCTAGCTATCCTGCTCCTTTCTGTTATCTTCGTGGGTGAGTGGCATTATGGGCCTACCCTCAGTCGTCCTAGCTACCCTGCGCCTCTCTGCTATCTTCGTGGGTGAGTGGCATTATGGAACAACCCTCAGTCGTCCTAGCTATCCTGCTCCTCTGTTATCTTCGTGAATGAGTGGCATTATGAACCTACCCTCAGTCGTCCTAGCCTTCCTAATCCTCTCTGCTACGTTTTTCAGATTTATTATTGTTTATGGTGAAAAGTAAACTTGTTGAGCCACTCACTCAAGAATACCCAAGACAGTGTAAACACTATATTTTTATACTGATCATCACTCACTACATATATATATATATATATGCAAAACAACCACTCTGAAAGAATAGAGAAATTCCAAGCGCTTTCGTGACTACTCCACATTATAATGTGAGTAGTCACGAAAGCACTTGGAATTTCTCTATTCTTTCAGAGTGGTTGTTTTGCATATTTTGAAATCACCTGTTTACTGTGATCTTATTGCATATATTTATATATATATATATATATATATATATATATATTATGCTGACCATCACTCACTATGTTTATATACTGATCATCACTCACTATGTATATATACTGATCATCACTCACTATGTTTATATACTGATCATCACTCACTATTTTTATATACTGACTATTCCTCGGATTGTAACCCATACTGGGTTACAGTCCCTGGGAAATGGTCAGTAATTAAGTTTGATTGTAGGAAGTGGAGGATAGTACTAATTTCCTGTATCAAGAGCCATTCACCAGCATTAACACATTCTTCTATGAAGGCTTTTGTCAGTGGTAAACTTCTAAGGGCTCTTGATCTAGAAGATCAGAGCTAACCTAACATTATTGGGACTCGATATAACCCCATTACATTTCCATTCTGAATGATTCCTATAAAAATTCTTCTTCGTCCTATGATTTCAACTAGATAGCAACGTGTCTGTCTTTTTTTAATGCAGCACACCAACGTAATAGCAACCTCCTCCTTCAGGATACCTGTGGCTGGCGGAGTCTCGAGAAGAAGCTTGTTCTGGGTCAGCACCATGCAGCAGTGACCTGACCACCTTCTCTGTGGTAGTCATCGTCGTCCTGAGTCTCCCTTTGCTGGTGTTCTTCTATGTGACCGCAGCTGTGGGCCTCCTCACCGCCTTCTTTGTCATCTTATCCTTCATCTACTACTGCAGCGGTGATGCTATGCACCAGGAGGTGAAGATTTTACATGAAAAATGAAGAAAAACTGACTTGAGCATCATCGCTACCACCACACTTTTCTCTATATTATTCAACACTATGTGAAGTTTTTATCTGAGAAATAAAGAAAACACAGATGCGTTACAGAACTAAATGCCACCGGAACAACAGTTTGCCCTTAGAGTTTTAAGATGGTGTTGATTTAATAACTGTATGACATGATAAAAGCTCTTATGCATATTTAAACGCAGTCATTATAAAATATTGCTCAACAACTACGTACTTTCTTCAATACAAACAGAGGTACGACATTTGGACTAAAAGAGAAGAGTTTCTCCGATGCTATTATTGTTGATAGTACATGAATAAGACACGGGATGAATAAGACATGTGTGCAATTCTGAATTCAAAAGAATATTAAATACATTATGTTTATTTATTTATTTATTTAAAAATTTGAGCACACATACAGAGGTACAACAAATACAGATAAGAGCAGTATGCCAAAGCCACTTATACTATGCATAGCATTACGGGCTGGCTTAAAATTAACTTAAGATTAACTAAGCAATGATGAAATCAGTGATAAAACATTAATGTAAACAGATTACTATAAAGCACAAGTGAGTATTACAAAGACAGGTCATATGGTTGCATGCATTGTTGTACATTCAGTAGAATGGAGTATTCTGTTAGGTAGTGTATTTAAAAAATAATAAAGTTAGATTGGGTTTTAGGTTTAACATTTATGTGATATAATTGTGAGAAACATTTAAGATATACAATTTATAAGGTTCAGTTATTCAGTATTTATTTGGTTTTGGGTGAGTAAGTGATCTTTGAGAAGAGACTTGAATTTATAAACAGGTAGTGTTTCTTTTATATTTACAGGTAATGAATTCCAGATTTTAGGGCCTTTCATGTGCATTGAGTTTTTGCATAGTGTGAGATGGACACGAGGAACATCAAAGAGTGATCTGTGCCTTGTGTTATGGTCATGTGTTCTGTTGAGGGTGGCAAGGAGATGTTTGAGGGAGGGTTAATATCAGAGTTAAGTGTTCTATGTATGTAATAGGTGCAGTAGTAAGTATGGATGTTTTGTATGGTGAGGAGGTTTAGTGTATTGAATATTGGTGGAGTGTGCTTAATTTGCCTAATTCCATGGGATTAGCACCATGGCAAAGTCCCAGCCATAAATATGACCTGTGTCCACCCTATGTATAAACAAGGTGTTAGACTCCTCTCCCAATGTAACAGTATATTTATTTGGATTCAATCATCCAATATTTTCTTGTTTGATATATACTCCTAAAATCGGTATGCCTAGAAGTTACAGAGTAAATTCTTCCTGTTGATGGGCTAAAAGATTTGTTCATCAGTAGATGCTTGACAGTATTTTCTTTATTAGAGTCAATTCCTACACTAAGTTTGTTTAAAAAGGGTTCGAGTGAGGTCAGCCCAGTTTTTATTATAAGGTAGAATAAGTCCTTTTATCATGTTTACACTCAACTCTTGAGGATGTTCTGCAAAAAGATGTCTTAATTTTTATATAGTCCTTCTTGACTCAGATGTGTCAATATTGAAGATCTTGCTTTTTAAAAAATTTCCCTATCAACCTCGGAATAAAGAACTCTGAGCATTTTATTATTTTTTATTATTATTATTATATTATTTTTAAATTTATTATTATCAAGGGGGAAGCGCTAAACCCGCGGGAAATTATACAGCACCTGGGGGGATGTGGAAAGTATTCAGGCTTAATTCTGGGAACTGGAGCACAGATTCAATTCCCTAAATCAAGAGCTCCTCACCAACATCAAGGAACCTTCCTTGAGGGGAAAAACTCTGAGCAGCGTAACTTAGTGAACCTAAGAACATCGTGTTTACTTGTGAATTGTTTAAGTATTCGTTTATTCTTTGTATCAGAATTAACAACAGTGTTGTGTTCATGTATTCAGAGCCAGAGGTGTGAGGGGTTTGTAGTACAGTATAAGGAGGTGAGGGAGGAGAGTCGCCTGTGTAGTGTAGAGTAATGTAATGTAGTGAACCACAAGCCAAGAAACTTCTTCATCGCTATCCCACATAAGAACACAGGAATGGAAGAACACTGTAGAAGCTCACAAACTTATTTTTTATTTATTTATTTATTATCAATTTGAGCACACATACAGAGGTACAAAAAAATACAGATAAGAGCAGTATGCCAAAGCCACTTATACTATGCATAGCATTACGGGCTGGCTTAAAATTAACTTAAGATTAACTAAGCAATGATGAAATCAGTGATAAAACATTAATGTAAACAGATTACTATAAAGTACAAGTGAGTATTACAAAGACAGGTCATAGGTTGATTCAGTCATATGAAGGATTCTGTTAGGTAGTGTATTTAAAAAATAATAAAGTTAGATTCGGTTTTAGGTTTAACATTTATGTGATATAATTGTGAGAAACATTTAAGATTATTTCAATTTAAAAAGGGTTTAGTTATTCAGTATTATTTGGTTTTTGGGTGAGTAAGTGATCTTTGAGTAGAGACTTGAATTTATAAAAAGGTAGTGTTTCTTTGACATTTACAGGTAATGAATTCCAGATTTTAGGGCCTTTTATGTTTCATTGAGTTTTTTTCATAGTGTGGAGATGGACACGAGGAACATCAAAGAGTGATCTGTGCCTTGTGTTATGGTCATGTGTTCTGTTGAGGTTGGCAAGATGTTTGAGGAGAGGGTTAATATCAGAGTTAAGTGTTCTATGTAATGTAATAGGTGCAGTAATAAGTATGGATGTTTTGTATGGTGAGTAGGTTTAGTGTATTGAATATTGGTGGAGTGTGCTGCCCGTAGTGAGAATTTGTTATCATTCTAACTGCGCCTTTTGTTGGGTAAATTTGTGGTCTGAGATGGTTAATTGTTTTTTGAGCCCCATGCACAAATTCCATAGGTGAGATAGGGGTAAATAAGAGAGTGATATAGGGCCAGGAGGGCTGACTGTGGAGCATAGTACCGTATCTTCGATAGTATGCCTACAGTCTTGGAAATTTTCATAGAAATTTGTTGTATAAAGTGTATGAAATTTGAGTCTATTATCAAGGTGGATTCCTAAGAATTTTCCCTGTTAGCTTTGTGATAGGTGAAACCGTTTATCATTATGTTAAGAGGGACATCTGTAGCTCTGTTACCAAACTTAATGAAGTTGGTTTTGTCAATGTTTAGTGTAAGTTTGTTAGTCCTCATCCAGGTAGATATTTTCTGTAATTCGGTATTTACAGTATTGGCTAGTGTGACTGGGCTCGGGGGAGAGAAGACGTATGTAGTGTCATCTGCAAATAGTGTGGGTTTGAGTAATTGCGAAGCATTTGGAAGGTCATTTATGTATAGGAGAAAGAGAAGAGGGCCAAGGACACTTCCCTGTGGGACACCAACTGTAATTAGTTGCGCAGAAGAGTTTGCCCATTTGCGTACACATATTGGCTTCTGTTGCTGAGGTAAAGACTTGAGGTAGTTGAGGGAGTGCCCTCTTATACCATAGTGTGCAATTTTACGTGGAGCAAGTCATGGTCAACTGTATTAAAAGCTTTTCGTAAGTCAATGAAGATCCCCAGTGGGACTTCTTTTTTCTCTATTTTCAAATGTATATATGTTCTAGCATTGTATAATAGCATCATTAGTATTTTATTAGCCCCGAATCCAAATTGGCAGGGGTTGAGTATGTTTTGGGAGATAAGGTAGGAGTAGATTCGTTTATGAATTAATTTTTCGAAGATTTTTGAGAGAGGGTGTAAGTTGGATATTGGCCTAATAGTTATTCAACTCTGTTTGGTCTCCCCTTTGTGGATCGGGGTGACCCTTGCTATTTTGAGTACTGTAGGGAAGGGGAGGATTCAATGGATTTGTTAAAGAGTGTTGCAATGATTGGAGATAGCACTTGTGACACTTTTTTGATATAAAGGGGGGAAGGTACTTAAATCTCCTGCCTTTTTTTTTTTAGTGCATTATAAAAGGGAGATTTCGTATGGTTCCGGCTGGAACAGGTGTTGGGTGGGTTCCCGGTAGGTAGTCATTTGGTGGGGTATCGGTTGGGATTTTTGGCAAGGTTTTGTCCTTAGTGGAGAAGGAAATCTTGATTTTGTTTGCTTTTTTCTTTTGGGGTGGGATTTGGGGGGTTATCTGATTTTGCTAATTTATTTCGCTATTTCGTGATATCTTTTTTTTTCCCCAGAATTTCTGAAGGGTTTTCCCCGGGTCTTTTTAACACTCGTAAGTTGGATATTCTGTTCTCATAATACAATTTTTTTCCCCTTTTATCAGGGGGTTTGGTTGACAGAAAACGTTTGTTTGGTCTCTGGTTATGTGACCCATTCTGTACTGTTTTTCATAGGGGTGTTTTGTTTTTATGGTTTTTGAGAATGCGGGGGGTGTTACCCAGGGTGTTCATCTCTTAGCTGTATCTTTTTAGTTTTTTTGGGCAGTGCTTGTTATAGAGGTATTGGGCTTTTTTAAAAAAATTATTAATTTTTCGTCAATATCTGTATAGTTTCTAGTCAGGGCCAATCAATTTTGCTCGCTGTTGTGAAGTTTTAAATGGCTGCCTCTTTGTGAAGTTAAAGGTGCTTTAGTAGTGTTTTGGGGGTAGTTTACCAAGAGTTTTATGAGAAGGGGGTTAGGTCTGGGGTTATTTTAAATTATGTGATTTTAAAGGGGATAGGGTTTTGGTCCAGATGTGGTCAAGTAGGGAAAAACACTGTTTCTGTAACTCTTGTGGGTTTTTTGTTACGTTGGTAGTAACATATTATCATTTGTTTGGAATTCAGTAACTTTGGGGGTCCTGGTTTGCAGGAGATTTATATTGAAGTCACCTTAGGGAGTAAAAATGATCTTTGTCAGCTGCTCAGTTTTCAACTTCCAGATTTTTACTAAAATTTGGTAATGTTTGGAATGTGGAAACCTGTAGATGTTTTTTCAATGTGGAAAGGGTTTTTTTAGGATTTGGATTTTTAATTTTGATTATATATTTCCCCCTTTTTCCCCCTTTTGCAAGTATTATGAAAATTTTAAATTGGTTGAGTATATTGGCTGTGCACCCCCTTGCTGGTTGGCCTACGTTGTGTATGGCTGGTTTAACCAGGGTGGCATAGAACTGTAATAGGGTTTAGCCGTTTCGTTGTGTAATGAGGACATTTTGGATGTAAGGAATTTGTTTAAAGCTATGAGGTCATCTAATGCTTGCTTAAAGAGGGGTATTTTGGGTTAAAAATAGTTATGTTGTTTTTGGATGGAATGCCTTTGTTGTTCGCCCGGTAGTAAATTCAGTAATGTTTGATCATTTAAGTCATTAAAAAATAGGTTGGTATCAGGACAATGCTTTAATCATAAAATTTGTAGTGAAATTTTTAGTTGAAATTAAATATAAAACAAAGTAAATAGTTTAAGCAAAAAGAGCACCTGAATTTTTTTAACAAATTTTAAAAAAATGGCTAAGGGCTATACAAAAAAAAGGAGATATATAATAGAGCTTGGTAAATGATAGTAGGTGTACTATAAAGGTAATTTTTAAAGTTGATTTTTTTTTAAAATTTAATAAAAAGGGGTTTTTAAAAGGGTTTGGGAACAAAAAAAGGGTAATCAAAAATAAAGGTTTTTGGGTATATGGCAAAATTTTGAACTTATTCAAAAATTTTCACTAAAATAGCACTTGATTATTTTAAAATTGGGTATATAAATGGATAGTTATATAAAACTAAAAAAAAAGGAGAAAATATTAAGGGCTAAAAAAAAGTAATGGTAAGCAAAGTTAAATAAAGTGGTAGGAATTTTTAATTAAAATTTAAAAATAAATTTGAAAAAGGTACTTTCAATTGCACTAGAGTCTGGGAAGGTTTTTTGACAAATCAGATTATAAAAATAGATTTAAATTGACAAAATAAAATTCCAAAAAAAGTACCAAAAGAATAATGTAAAAAATCACAATGGTAAAGTCTTGGTTAAATATGTAGTAAGATGGTAACAGGTACCCCGGTACACAGGTACAAAGGATAAAATAAAGGTTGGGGTTGAATATAAAAACTTGAAAATTTGGCAACAAAATGTTATGGGAAGTATAAAATAATGTTTAATGTACAAAAGTAAAATTGACTGGTAGTAAATATGGTGTTTAATAAAATTTTAATAAGTAATAATGATTACAAAAAAGTGAAAAAGTAATGTTTATTTCATTCAATATTGCACTGGTAGTTATACTTGAGGTTATATGGCAGTACAAGGTAATTAAGAGTAATCTAGGATAGTAAATGTGGTATTAAAACAGGTTAAGGTAATTAGACAAGTAATGGTTATTAAATGTCAAAAATGTTAAGAGTAAATTGAAATTTTAGTAAAAATGATATTTATTAATTTTAGTA